ACGTTGAATAACCTCGTAAATCAAATATCTGCAAGCGTTATAGATTTATTGAGTCATTCATTGCGAGTAACGAATATATTCATCATATTTATGTACTCGAACAAAAGTTTTTGGGATGTATTCGACACCCTTAGCAGTATAACGATATAAGCTCCGCAAAATTCCTATGGAATTGTTTTTTAAATAACTTGGAAAGCCCTACTGTCTCCCTACAAAAGAAAAAAGTCTGAGGCTTTCATATGCCACATACGTCAAGGTTTAACCTAATCCGGGAGGGACGTCCAATTTTTATTGCAGTCGGCCTGATGTATGGGCTAATATCGAACCAATAAACTGAAAAACGATGTCAAAAGGGTTCAGATATTGCTATTGCTATTGATATTGGGGTGCACTTTTAAAAAGATAAAAATAATATCATTACACACTGAACTCTTCTATAAGTATAAAGGGCAATGAGTTTTTTAATTTTTTTACCGCCAATTTTTAGTAATAAAATTAAAGACGTTAAATGATCATCGTGGTTAACAATCAGTAATTTGCATTTAGAATGTCAACTTTTATAGTCTATGTCTTGCATAAGACGCGGTATAAAGATTGGTTAATAGTACCTTATAGTGAAAAATCAGGTAAATTCTTCAATAACAATTACTTGAATGTCATTACTTTCAATAACTTTAAAATTTTAGTATGTCTCTTTTAATTTTACAGTCATATATTTTTTAAATATTACTTATCGACTAATAGAAAAGTTTTAAAGATTCATTATTTTTTATTCGTTTTAGAAACTAAATTTTATTCCAATATCGAACACTATAAATTAAGGTTTGGTTTATTCCAATAGGTTCACTTATCGTGAGCGTTTTTCAAAAAAGTTTAGGTAATTTAAAATTGTGATTTTAACCGCAGCCTAAAAACGCATCCGAATACAGCCATTTTAAATTTGGGACCGTTACACAATCAGTAGTGATTGCAGAAAAAGTCTGAATCTTTGCCATTAATACGAGTACATTTCACCGTTTCAATTTCATCCTTTTGAGTCAATTATACTTTGCCAATTTAAGAGTGCCTGAGTATGCTGCATGGAGTCCTAATGTATTATTCATATTGTGTTTTTGAGATAACAAGCAGCTTCTTAAGTCGATACACATCTAGTGGACGGATTGGAACTCCTCTGAGTACATAGAACGAACGTTATACCGTAGTAAAACTATTATAATTAAATTCTAGTCACAAACGCACATACATACATACATACATGTACTTTCTAGAACTGACCTCTTCATAATTTTCCTGAATTGAGGACTAGGTTACAAACATTATTATTAAGAAACAATGCATAACCATTTAAAGTCTTATACCATATAGAATTAAAATTTTGCGGACAATAAATTGCAGTTGTTCTGACGGTACCGAAATGCTTCTTTAATTACACCACGTATCAGGACCGTAAATTCAAGAGAGCTTTTATTTAAATATTAATTACTTTGAATATATAGGGTGATGGGAAATTGAATGCGTATATAATTGCGAACGCAATAAAATTCACGATAGCGTAATCTATCAGATAATTGCATATAGTATTTCATTTAAATGTTACCCAGTTTATGTGTCAAAATGAATTTTATATATAGCATTTATAAATTTGTATACCCAGAAGCCGCGAAATGTCATACACAACCTGTATAATCGTATGTAGATGCCGATGAAGAGGCGCGGCTCGGGATATAAATGGCCGTTATGTACTTTGTAATCGTCCAAGTTATTTCAGACCACCCAGGCGGCCAGCGGACACATGTTAGCCGTACGCAGTGAGATACGTACTACCTACATAGCCCCAATCACTGTCCCGTTGTTCATATAATTATATAATACTACCTTCGAAATAACAATTTGCTCATTATTGTTCAGGAAACCTGAAACTTGAATATATTATACGTTGTTTTTTTTAATCAAACCGGTCAAATTTGCAGCTTATAATGCTGTGTTTTGAGAAGCAATTTTCTTAGAGTATATTACTTGGTTACAAACATAAATATGTTTATTTTAATAATAAACAATTCTGTACATTTATTGTTATTATTGAGCTAATGTCTTAAACATTTCAACGGGTTCAGCTAGCGAACAATGAAGAAGGCAATTACCTCTTTAGGCAATTTATAGTCATGAGATTATCGCAGCTTATCCAGAAGGTACAAGCCCTAGATACATTAATAAACTGAAAGCGCATGTTCTGTACAATCAGACGCACTGTTTTATCTTAATTCGTCTCATTAGACTGGGCGGGCAAATATCCCCCTTACATAATTTTATCAATGATTGTGCGCGTGGGCAAATAGTCGATGTGATCAAATTTAATGTGCCCATTCTATTGAAATATTGTTATGAACTATTGTAAGCTCGCTTGTGGTACTAGGATTTCAAATAATATTTTTTTTTCATGATCCCAACTACTTAACAGCTTATTAAGCGTTGGTAAACAAATCTGCCCGCACATTTGCCGGTTACTTAAAAAAACATTCAAAAACAAAAGGCCGCTTTCAATAACACAACAGTCATAAATTAACGAAAACTTTTACGAATTAGAAACAATTAAAACATTGGAGCAAACAACAGTTGTTGCGAATGTCCTCAGCATTGCGGGAACATTGAGAATTACGGGCGGTTTACAGGCTATAGATCTTAGTCCAAAATTCTTTACGGCTAATATAACTTGCGCAATCCTTTTGTCGCTAAGGGGCGAAGGGGGGAAGTTGGACAAGTTTCTTTTGTTTGCGACACGTGTTGCAAAACGGTTGTGCCTGACACTTGTTTCAAGACAATCTGAGAAACAACTTGCCCCGATTCTAGTTATAAGACATAATCTTAATTTTAAAATATTTAACTTATTTATTAGATACTTCATCTTATCATGTAACCTGATCTTATAAAAAAAATATGAAACATCTACAACTGTATGTGCCATTTAAAGCGGCTCTTAGTCAAGTTACGAAAGGCAAATGCCCTTTGAAAATCGACTCCGGAACACAATATACAGATGATGAACAAGATTTGTGGCTTGCGGAAATATTCGTTGTCATTATATACCTATTAAGGTTTCACGCAACTTTTTGCTAGAACCCCGCTCCTTAATGAAGTCATTTCTGTCAATTTTATTGCTGTTGTGGCATACGTCGGATTTTGAGAAAAATTTACAAGGCGCAAATTGACACTGAAATAACATCAGCCTTAATTACACACATGTGGGTGAAAAAGATTTCGTTTTAGTAAGATTGTTAAGAAATTTTGTAAAGTTTTCTCGAAACATTTTTACTTTGTTTTATTCAATAATGCAAAGCAAAAATGCCGTAATGTCGTACGATTTTTTTTTATTGACAAAATTCTCTTTTGTTAAAACTTATTTTTAACTTAAAAATTTGTGTATATTTTGCTTGTTTTGGAATTAATGAAGACTCGTATTATGAAAATTTATCGGCTTATTTACGGGATCTGTATAAAGGAAGAAAAGGTTCGTATTTCCATGGACCCTCAGAGGCTTTTACTGCTTAGGCAATTAGCGTCACTCAATTAACCACTACTCCGGTAGAATATCACTAATTATTAAAAAGGTTGCACTTAAGTCTTTTGCTCTTAAATTAAGATGGTACCTAAGTAAAATTTACGTCTAATAGCAATTCGTAAAGCAATTCAAAATTAAACTTCGAAAAATACTAGAATAATTTTGATGACTTTATTCTTAATTCGTTATCTAATTTGATAAATTCTAAGACCTCGTTTAAAATGTTTTTCAATAAAAAATAGATAAGGGCGTACATGCACTGTGGCTTTAAAAGCTGGTTCGATGGATGTACTTGAGATAATTAAGCCATTAAATCGGTTGGCAACCCTTTTACATTGTGAGAAGCGCTCTGCAGGCTCGCTCCAAAATGCTTTTATTTTTGTATCAATTTTAAAAGCAATCTGTTATAAGAGAGAGCTCTTTTAAGAAGCTGATACTAACACATTTATTCGTACAACAAAATTATTCCATATCCTTCCAGAGCATATTTCATTCAATTACTATATTAAGTACTCTTTTATCAGATGCCATTACGGTTTTAAATTTATTTTCTGTATTGCAATGGGTGTTGTTCCATATATAAATCATTATATTTTAAAAGCCCTCGTGATTGGTTTATAACTCGTTGTACGAGTTCAAAAGAACTTTCCAAGTAAAATAAAATTGATCTCAGCGTGAGTGTAAACTCATATATTAAAGTTCGACGCATGCAATGAAGCCTTTTAATACATAACTGTATTACGGTCAGCATTGAAATCAGGGCTGTCATCATTATAAAAAAACCAAAATTTTCTTTATAGCTCCAAATCATAACTGGTCTTTAACCACTGATTATTGCTAAACGTTGAAGGTATATGTTCCGTAATTGGCAGCCCTGACATGTAATCGAATTTTCACGACTTGCGGCTATTGGCCCCGCATATCAGCTATATCAAGTATCGATTTCTCGGTAACCAATTCAAATTTTTAAATAAGGTCGAAATTTCACGTTCATTAATTATATACATACATGAAAACTTGATCTTGTATGTCATTTATTACAAGCATGAAAAGTTCCTGCAGCCGTTCGACTGGTTTGATTAAGAAGTTTTAATAAAAACAACTTACAACCTATATAACCATACAATATAACCTTTCCATATAACCTATCTTCTTTATACTTAACAATTCCCTTCGGTACCTATATCAAAGACGTATATCGCCGCCAGATTTCTCAAAATTGACAGTTGAACGAAATGAAGCTGTCGCCAGAATCGATTGTACAGTCATTTAAACTAAGCTGTGTAAGACAACTGTCTCCATTCAACGATCAAACACTAGGCTTCATTCGCTCTATTAAGATAAAATGGCCACTTGAATATAACGCCTTATGTCCATTGAGGGCAACGATCTTTAAACAAACTGAAGTGATACTTACTAAATTGAATTTTTTCTTTTGTTTCAGGAGCAAACGGCCTGAGGAGACGAGGAAGACAAACCTACACTAGATATCAAACGCTAGAGTTAGAGAAAGAGTTCCACACAAACCACTACCTCACACGAAGGAGACGCATCGAAATGGCACACGCCCTCTGCCTGACGGAACGACAAATTAAAATTTGGTTCCAAAACCGAAGGATGAAATTAAAGAAAGAGATACAAGCTATAAAGGAATTAAATGAGCAAGAGAAACAGGCGCAGGCTCAGAAGGCAGCAGCGGCGGCGGCAGCGGCCGCAGCAGCCGCTCAGGGCCATCCTGAGCACTAGACTAGAATACAGCACTAGACATGCGCCTGCGCAACATCTAACAGTGATACGATCGCAGTCCGCCGAACAATTTAGCTTTGTGTTTTGTAAATTGTTTGTAATTATTTTTCGTTATTTAAGTGTTGTTCGGTTGTTGTGGTTGTTTTTTTTTTTAATTAATTATATTATTGAATTAGACTCATGTTTTCTAAGGAATGGAACAATAAACTTTTTTAATGTTAGAATAGAAACGGGTCGTATTATTTTGTGTTTCGGGTTTTGTTTTTTTGTTGATTTATTGAATTTTTACATATATTTTAATTCGCGCTTTCTCGTAAATGTTCGCGTTTGAAAACCAGTGCAATTTTTAGAAATCTCTTCCGTGTAACATATTGTAGGTGTAGTTCGTTTTTCATGATGTGCTGTCTTAGCCGGTAGCGCTCCCTGTCAGTGTCAGTGGCGAAAATAAACTATATACAATACATTGTACAAATTCTATTTGCCTACCAAAGAGACTCGGTCTCATACATTTAAAACTAAGCAAAACAGTCATAATATAAATCGTTTATCAGAAATATTTTATAAATTGGACTAGCGTAAAACAAAAAACCGCGCCTCAATACCTTCAATACTCTCGCATAAGTATAGTGTAAACGTGGTCGTGTTCCTGCAGTTTTAATAGTTGGTGAAGTTTAACAAATTGCCATAAATATAAGTAGGTATTATTATAGTTAGTAGCGATGTAAATAGTTAGCGTTATGTCTACGTTAATTGAAGTGAGCGGTTTGCGTTTGCGCTGGCGCCGTGGAATGAGAAGAAAAGTATTAAGGGAGTGCAGGAGGGATGCGGGGCGAGTCGGAAGGCAGAGGGGGGAAGGGAAGGAGCAGAGGGGGACAGGGGGGGGAGCGGGCGCCGCCGGCCACCGAACAGGACTAGGTGAGTTTTTGTCAAAGTCCGCGGCATTATTTATCGAGTGGAGACGGTTGCGAAAAACTGACTCGTCGTCACCAGCCGATCCGCGACGCCATTTTTGAAATCTTCCAAGCGAGACTTCTATGGCATTGCTGTTTTGCAATGTTTTAATTTACTATACCGATCCGATGTCGCCTTTGATGTTCCCGACCGTCTCCGCTCCGCTGTCGAGGGGTGGTCACAGCCTCACATTTCCCAGTAACTTAATTAAATTCATGAAAGAATCCTAAGTGACTCCGAATACCTACAACAATAATTGTCATGTTGTATTATATTAACGTATATAATAAGGCACTACACTCGTTTTTAACAACTAATTGACCATAACATTTTATGGTATTTCTGGACCTTATATATTTAAATTCAACAGCTAACTCAGTCACTAGGTGTGAATCGAAGAAGAATAAAAACTCGAACACCTTTTAAAGATCTTTATTATTTCGAATTCGTAATGACTTCATCTCCTTTACATTTCAAATAACCGATGGGACGGACTATTAATTAAATTGGCTCTATACTGTAATCTCTCTCGTACCAAATATGGCTGAGAAGATTCCAGCAATCACTAAAAACTTGGAGTCCTTATACTGTACTCGTACGGATAGTAAGAAAAAATTAAAAGAATTCGTTATTGATACAAAGATTTATATATTAATTATTGCGTAAATCCACATCAATAGATATAAAATGAAAGTTATCTTCATTCACAGACAGGAAATAACACAATATGTAAAATTATTATGTTATTAGTGGTTATATTTTTAGTTCCTCATTACAGAGATGCTTGAAATAGACGTTGGTTATGTATGTGCTTTATGACTTATGACTTATAGTCGCTTAAGTCAATGAAAAGTTAATAAAAAGTTACTTGGCAAGAAATCGTAAGGCATCTAAGCTATGACGTGTAATTCTGCTGACTGTATTTGGCAATAATTTTTGTGGCCTCTTTCAGGAAGAACTCGACAATAGCGGACAAATTACTGGTTTCGATACAAAAAATGAATACTGTTAATACGTACATATATGTACAGATAAAATATCTTAAATTGAATATTCGCAATTAATTGTTATTTTTGTTATTATTGTATCGGCATGTTTATATTTTACTCTCACGAATTATTAACAATTGAGGTTTAAGACTTTAACGATCTCATTAGTCGATGAGTGATTAAGAGTAATGACTAGTTCCACGCCTTGTTTCTCACTTAATTAAAAGGTACCGATACTTTTACGAGAAAAGCAGATGCTTCAGTAAAAACACAATATATGAAACGATAATTCGATCATTTCATTCATCAATATAACGATAGTGGCTTAACGAAGTTTTTTCTTATAACAATATTATCTTTTTCACCGTCACTATTACTATTAAACATAATCACTATATATAGACTAGATGGATTCATTTCGTACTCCTTAATGATTAGGCGTAAGGTAAAAACTTAACGCCATAAAATATATATTTTTTTTTCAAACTAGTCTCCAACACCTGTAGGTATGCAACGAACATTTTTATTTCATGCGAAGATAATTACTCACTACGCATAAATGCCGTTTGATAATTCATATAATCGCCGTCATTATAAAATCGATACTTTTCGAGTTAATTAGATGAACACTTGAATAATACATGAGTGATTTATCAGTAGGTACATACAGCGGGTAGTATTTTTTTAATTATAATTTTCACGAATTAATTGATATTCAGAGGCAGTTTTTTATTAAAATATCGCAATTTTATAAGGCTCCCGGACCTGTTCCGCCGTAATAAAAGGAGTGCGGGTGAGGTCGAGGAGGGGGGACGTGCGGGGGGGGGGTGCCTTCGACCTCCCGCCGTTGAATACATTCTTATATACAACTCCGGCCGCTGAGACGATCAGAGATCTTTCTTATGTGCAGTTCCAACGACGCGAGCCAAATCGCTCACTTCTTATTTATGTGTTCGATAGCTGTTAGGTTACTCAACCCTGGAACGGGCCAAATTTTTCAGGTTTTATACCATTTAAATGACGATATCCAGAAATTCGATAGACCTTTTTCTTTGGCAAACAATTCGTTGATCGGCTTAATGGGAATTCTTATAAAAATTTCAAAGTTCTAAAAAATAGACTGCTGTAATAAGTATGTACATAGGTACATTATATAACATACAGGTAACTTATAACCAACTTATAGATTTTGGACATAAATTCGTTTTCAAATATTATAAGCAAAATAATTTCAATGCCAATAGAATGGACGGTTTACAGTAGATATATATTAAGTGAATACAGGAACCTCATACAGTACCTTATAAAGCAAGGCCCGTTTGGTTCACTCGTGTCGATACTATCTCGTCACCCGGCCTGCCCCGCTCACGACTCTACATGTCCCATAGGTTACTCACCCGCGCAAAACACTTTAATCGATAACGATTTATTTAATTAACTGTACACGCTCATACTACGACTCCTCGCTTAGAAACAATACCAAGGAATCGTTTACTTATAATATATTATAAATTTAATATTGTCTTAATTCTACAATATACAATGTGATAACCATTTCTCTTCAATGTCACGCAATCCCAATACGATATATCCCATGACAGCTATTAATTTAAAGCCAATGAGCCTTTGCACACTTCAAGTCATAAACAAACGCTATCTATCCAAACTGCCTACTTAATAGTCTCTTTACTATAATTGCAGCGATCAATAAATACGTTTTACATATGAACCAATGGTCGCTGTAATGTTTGACTTTATACACTTCAAATTGCATTTCCTGTATAATAACTATATAATATAATCTTAACAGTTTTATTTTGTAAATATTCTGAAGGCTTGATTAATGTTAAGAAATATCTTAAAGCATATTAAATATTTACTTGAGAAATACACATTGAAATTCCGTACCTCTATTTATATATTATATACATTTAAATTTAAAACTATTATTAATATATATTATTCATATATATTTCCTATTGATAATAATGCAAATAAGTTAGTTATAAAAAGATTGTGTAATATTAATATATACCTAGTAACACGTAATTATGATGTATGTAACACTATTTCTTTCTGTATGTGGGTGTGTAGATAAACGAACACGTTACACGAGATATTTGGACCGAGAGTCCTTGACAGAGTTTATTTAACATTAGATAACAGAAATACGGAATCGAATGAATAAACATAAATTTGCATGACGTTAGCGGCAAATAAAGTAATAAATATTATTAACCTGATTGACTTTTTATGTAGCGTTATTTAGTTTTAAACAAGATGTATCAAAGTTATCTCATCAAAGCGAGATATTGGTACATCGGCTCAATAAGAAATAAATCTCCTCCTTTTTTTACCCCCACACGTTTTTAGGGTTCCGTTTCGATTCTCAAATGGCCATTGTTGTGCCAATTCTCATGTCTCTTCTGTCTCAAACTTGTTACTAAATCGGAACATGCTTAAATACACATTATTCGTTATTTTTCTTAACAAATGTCTTACGAGTTAGTTCTTTTTACACGTTTTAAATATTGTATTTTAAATATACTGAATAGTATTCGAAGATAATAAATTAATTAAGTTTAATCTTTTTATTGGGTGTTTTATAATTATATTGCTATGATTATTTAAGAAGGTGTTTTTTTAACTCACTAACTTGGATGTAGTTAGTGTTCAGTATATAAATATATAATTTCTTTTAACTTAATTTACAGTATAGATATAAAAAAAGTTTTCGTAATAAAATTTCCAACCAATCAGGGAACATGAAAGCTAATATTAACAGTGATAATATGAGTTGCGTGTTAGTACGTTTAACTTGTCGTCTGGGGCCCGCGGTAAAACTGACCAATAAAACTTCATTATCACTGGCTTGTTCGCTTCCAACTTTCATTTTATTGGTTTATGACATCAAAAGTCATAAAACTCGAGGTGCGGTTTGCGGCGACAAATAATATTTGTTTATGTAATTGCCATCGTAACTATTAACGTGAATTTTTAAATGTTTCATTATATAGCTTGAGTTTTAATCTTTTATATTACTTACTCTTTTGTTTTTAATCTAATTTTTAGCTGGAGTTATTAAATTAATATGTAATCATTATGTTCAAAAGCTACATGACGTTACACGTCTCAAATTATGAACAATATTTTTTATACAGTGATGTGTGTTTAAAAAGTTATGTTATGTTAAAATCTGTGTAATTATTTAAAGCAGCACTTAAGATACATATTGTGGGCGGTTTTTATGTAAATAAGTTTTTAAAAAACATGCATTTGACATGCAACGAGAGCGACGCACGATCCCGCGGGCTACACATGATATAACACAATTTTTTTGTTTATTTGATTCTTTTATAAAAATACATATATTTTTTGAGTGTATATATCGTCAAATAAATAACATTCAAAGAAAAACAAAACACAAACAAATAATATATTAAACAATAAACATAGAAACGTAGAACTATTATTTTCTTTGGACATGATATAACAAATGTAGGGGAAACAATTTTTTATGTGACTTATCCGTATCCAATAGGAATTAGCGACAAAAGTGTTTAAATTAGAAGAGCAGTAAATTGTCGGAGGCGTTTTAATTGAAATCGCAGTTGTTAATAGAGTGCGTACCGCAGTGCGCATGCGCCAGCTTTATTTATTATACCCTACAATTTACTAGGCTAAGCACGTATGCCTTCAATGAGCTTGATATTGCATTTTTTAAACGTCTTCTAAATCATTTAATCTGCTGTTTAAAATGTGTAATCTATTTAATATAAATAGTAATTATCTAATAGGTACTACCTACATATAAAATCGATTATCTTAGTATATGTTTGGTTTACGTATAAAGTTCGTGTAGTACGAATAACTAAAAACTATCAAACTAGTGACAGAGCCCATCTACTAAATAACCCCACGAGGGTTTAACCCTTCAACTTTTTCTCGGTCCTGGTCGACCCCAATCCTTCGTCTCTCCGATACAATGTATATCTTTATTTATCATTCTTTATTACTCAGAAACTCCATGACGGTATTGTTCGAAGAAGATTAAAATAAAAGCCTATCCCGATACTATCTTCCTTCTGATTTACCGTTACATGAAATTTATTAGAATAGTTGATGCAAATTAAATCTCAAGTTTTTCACTTGTATATAACATAAGTAAATGACTTTGATGGAGTCTTGATAAAGTCTATTATTTATGGTTTGTAGTGTGTTTTAGAAAATTAAGTGCTAATATTTCACATTCCGTACATTATCGCTTACCGTCCCGCCATTTCAACAACCAATTAAACAAGGCCTTCATACACCTTATCAGGACGAGGTATGAGAACTATGAGGAGGGTCTAATAAGATTGGAAATATAATGAACCCCACCCATTGTAACTCGCTTACAACTCGAACTTAATATTGATATAGGTATATTACAATATCTTATTGGATTTTATTACTGTTTACTCTCCAATTAGATACGAAGCAGTTTATTTTAAATTATATTTCAATATATTGACAAAATCATTACTTACTAAATATATGTTTATATGAAATAGATTTTTTTAGATTTAAGGTATAGTAAAAAAAATTAACAAGTTTCATTTTGGTACAGAAATATTTAGTGTCGGATATATCAGATACAAATAATTTAATAAATCACATCTATCTAATCTCTTGTGCAACGTGAAAATCACATTTCCCATTTTCGTTCGAGTTAAAAATGAGATCTGATAGTTTACAAAAGCAACTCAACCAAATAATTGCTATTCTATTCACACCGAGGGCGATTTATTCCCCGAATTATTTTCTTGTTGTTTTATTAGAGGATTTGTCACTCACCCCGCTTTTATAATTACCCCAGATATCGGGTAACTTTTAAGATTGAATTTATGTAAAAGGTTCGGGTACAGCGGATTAGACTACGGGAATGTAATTAGGCGGATTTTAGGAATTTGTTGGCCATATTTGGTAATAAACAGATCTAGAAGACAAATGGAAAATATAAAGTACTTTAAATTGGAAAACTTTAATGTTATACGATAAGCTATCATGTAATCAAATATGAAAAAACAATAATTAGTAAGTAGAAAAGTTACATAAATAACGCAGTTTAGTTAAAAAGTAAAAAAAAACTAAGATGATTTTATACATATATCCTTAAAGTTAAGTGCAATCGTGTTTGTAAATATTTAAGAATAATTGAGTTAAATAAAAAGCAACTGCATATAATTTATTATATATTTTTTTCCATGTTATAAGGACACGGTTATATTCCAAAGTTGTAGTTATTGATCATGCCATTACAAGTGGCGCCATCTTCTGATCCTGCAAACAAAGAATTGAAAAGATAAAGCATATTTTGTGTCTGGGAATACATTTCATGAAGTATAAAATATAAGAGCACATTACATACCTATATTACATTAATTTTTTGAAGTAAAATTAGTACAGATATAAACTATTATTAGTACAGATATAACTAATATCAATTCAGTATCATCTCTTCAAAAAGTTCGGCAGTCTAAAGAGAGATGTCGCCTAAAATAAACGGCGATCGACTACAGCGCTCGCTTTAGACGCGGCGGAACAATAAACTATTTTAAGGCGGGATTTCAGAAAGCTCGCTGTTCGACACGTACTGCGGTGGCGAGTGAAAGTTTATGACGCAATTTACAGTTCGTATATTGCCCGGCACTTCATATAACACCGCAATACGCAACTGAATTTTCTTTATTTCATATGAAATTCTTTCCTTTAGCTGCAACTGAATTTTCTAAGGTGTTTTCGTATGTGCCATGTACAAGAGCGAATAAAACATAACGTTCTCTAAATTGTATTGAAATTTAGTTATTATACAAATTATTATTTTATAATTATTATTATCGATTCAGTTCAACAATAGTTTAAGATAAAAATATCTTTAAAAATTCTTTAACAATATAGCTTATATTGGACGGTAATGACGCAACG